AGGCTAAGTTCATATTTATCCGTAAGTTCCGAAACAGTTCCAGCACAGCGCGCAGTTTGAGCGCTTTGCAGAAACTGTTCCGGAACTTATGGATCTGTGCAAACCCAACCTTACTCATTACACGCCAAACAGTCACCAGCGGAGCTGCGTCCTGTCTAGAGCCCGGCACAGATCGTCTGGAAGCAGGCTGGACTTCGTCTTTGAAGCGAAAAGCAAAGGAGATGTCATTTTTGACGAGTCGGGGCCGAGCACCAAGGATAAGCGTCATTTAGTTGAAGACAAGCTTTTCGGACAAGTTATCACACGATTGACATGCTCTATCATGTATGGCGGAAAGTGCGCGCGATTTAAAATCAAGGCTAAAATAAACAATTGCTTGTTTACAACGCACACAGAATCATATGACACCAAAACTGAACTGTATACATAGAAAATTATTTGCAAAAGAAATATATGAAAAGGTTTGAAATATGCGAAGTAATACGTTTTCCAAAATTTGATCGTCTTCAGACAAGCACCAGACGATCTGAGATCGTCTGGAGCTATTTCTGTCACTTCACATAAGTTTTGGATTTTTCTATCACGGACGGATTCCCCGGTCAAAAATCTATCCCTGCGCATGAAGACATTTCTATATAATTGTCTTTCCTTTGTTTTTTGCCTTCATTTCTTCATATATTGCTTTGCGAAATACCGCGCTCCAATGCCAAACTCTTGTGCATGCGTAGTATTCAGCTCCAAGTTGGATTTTCACTTTAAGCTTGCGTTTTTTCTTTCAGACTAGTAGGCCTTTTTTGTTTTCATCTTCTCCTAAGCAAATAGGTCGAAGGGGACTTCGTAAAACTTCCGAAAGTCAGGGGGACTTTGTTTTCAGAAACCCTAGAAACCGACTCGTGCCGGGCCCTGATCCTGTCTTATTCTAGCCCTTCATCGATTGCAAGATTTATGTCAAAATGTGACCTGTAAATAATGGTGTCTTGTGACTTGTAAAAAATAGTGTCTATCTGCCAAATCATTGGTACCATATACCACTCGAAAAAGCAGCACAAGTCAGTCTTTTGTGTGACATGGACGGAAATTGCTTCGAGTTTGCTGCCAGAGGAAAGAACCGCTTGTTCAACCTTCAAGCTCAAGCAGTCTGGGAATCAGGACTGCATCTTCAATCGAGAAAGCAAGGACGCCATGTTTTTGGAGAATGCGGATGTTATTATCTGCGATGAGATGGTCAAGGTGAAAAAGTACTCAACGTAATCGACCTTCTATTCAGAAATTTGATGTGCAATTCTCGTCTTTCAGAGGAAGGACTGTTCTGCTGGCGATTTCAGACAAATTTTGATCTTGCAAGGGAAGTGTCAGAAGTGGCAGTGGTCTTTTGACATGAGATAGTATCGTCTGAAGCAGCTAGGCACGCACATCCTCAAGCAGGCTTTCTTAGGGCCGCATGCACTAACATCCCCGCGGGGAGGGGATCGCAGCTTAAAAGAAAGCTTTATATTTCGAAACTCCAGATACCTGGATTTCACGTTGTGTACCTATCCGTAAGTATTCCTACTACCCCTCACTATGAACACGTTGAAGAGGAGCGAGAAGCTGCACGAACCGCATTTTCCAGCTTTTGTATGATCCCCGATGATCCCCGGCGCTTTTCTTTAAAGTCATTTTTCTTTCTTCGAAGTTAACGAATAACCTCCAAAGTTGTGCAGATTATCTACCCCGATAGTGCTAAGCATGTTGCTGATAAGAACAAATGATGTTTTGAAGTCATGAAATTTTCGATGATCCACAGGTCGAAATTTGAGGTTTACCGAAAAATTCGACTTTTCAAAAACACATTCATTCTCATCAGCAACATGCTTAGCACTGTTGTGTTAGATGTTCAGTACAGCTTTGGAAAGTATTCGTTAACTTCGGAGAAAGAAATATGACTTTAAAGAAAAGCGCCGGGGATCATCGGGGATCATACAAAAGCTGGAAAATGCGGTGTGTGCAGCTTCTCGCTCCTCTTCAACGTGTTCATAGTGAGGGGTAGTAGGAATACTTACGGATAGGTACACAACATGAAATCCAGGTATCTGGAGTTTCGAAATATAAAGCTTTCTTTTAAGCTGCGATCCCCTCCCCAGCGGGGAGGTTAGTGCATGCGGCCTTTAGGCCCGTATGCACGTACATCCCCGCTGGGGATGGGAGGGGGTCTGACAGAAGATGCGTCATATCTCGCTGCTGTGGGCATCTTTCTTCTTCCTTCTCTATCTTGCTTATGAAAGTTCTCATACCCTAATACCTGCGCATAAATGATGCCAGATTACTGGCATAACTGATTAGATTTTCACTATTTTGTGGGATCCCCTGGGGTCTCAATTTCAATGCCGTTTTTCTTTTTGAAAACTCAATGAAAACGCTGTAAAATTGTACTGTGGATATACTATGGCTGCTAAAGATGTTTATAGTAGAAATAAGTGAAATATCAAGATATCGAAATCTTTGGTAATCCCTAACTCGCGAGCCAGGGATCATCGAAATATTCACTATCTTCAGATTCCATTTCTCCTGTCGAAAACATGCTTAGCAGTGCCGTGCTACGTCCTCAGTACAATTTTGCAGCGTTTTCATTGACTTCTCAGGAAGATAAATCACTGTGAAAATGAGGGGTGATTTCTTAGGGATCCCCTGGGGATCACACGAAATGGCAAAAAGCCGATGTTGCATAACAGTAACCTGGCATCCGTTATGCGCAGGTACAAGTGTATGAAAAACTTCATAAGCAAGATAGAGGAAGAAGAAGAAAGATACGTGGAGTAGCGAGATATGACGCGTCCCATCTCACATCCGCTCTCCTCAGAGGGGATGTACGTGCATACAGGCCTTAGCTGCAGTATGAACCTTATAAGGGAACAATACTCGGTGTCCGTGGGCTTTTGACATGAGATGTATACCATTACACTCGTCTTTGAACGCTGATCCCGAATCTGACTTCCTTTCCTGCTTATCGTTTCTTTGAAAGAAATTATGAAGGATTTTCGCGCCAAGTTTGGCTTCCCAAGGCTAACAAAAATTAGGTATCCTCGTGGTAAATGCATGCCCTTACCCTTCAAAATTGTGGAAAAATGAGAAAAGTGATTGGTATTTGCGCTAAAATGTATCTATTGATCAGTGGTATAGGCGCTCCGATCGTATTTCCTTTGCGGTCAAACTCGGAGCGAATATCCTTCATAACTTTTTTCAGAGTAATCATTAGCAGAAACGGAGGTCAGGTTCGGAATCAGCGTTCAAAGGCGAGTGTAATGGTATACATCTCATGCCAGATGGCCACGGACATCTAGTATCGTTCCCTTGTTAGTCGGGAGTTGTGGGCATTTTAATCACAAAATCTGATAATGTTTAGAGTACCCCGTGATTGATCATGGTAATCGTTCAAATGCTTGTTTAAGAACTACAACATAGCACTGAGAAAAGAGTAGAAGCACAAGCATTGGTAAACTGTTTCACCCTTGTTTAAGCACAATGAACCGACTTGCAGGTGAGGTGAAGTGAAAGAGTATAAAATTGTAGACGAAGTTGCAAGCAATGAATACAGCTATCATAGCAATGAATTTTCCATTAGTTCGACGTCTGCAGGTTTTCCTCCTCACATTGTACGAATGAAGAAAGGTGCGATTGTAATGTTGCTCAGTAATTTGGGAGTCGAAAAAGGTCTATGCATCTAATAAATTAGCCATTTTGAACATTACGTCCTTGGCTGTCTTTCGGAATAGCCAATTCGTCCTCATCCCACGTAGAAACGATTTCGCTGATAAAGGTGCTCGCTCGTGCGCGACTGCGTCACTTCACCCGGTTGGCTTTCGCCATGAATTTAAAAAAGCGCAATGGCAAAGTCCCACAAATAGGGCCGTACGAGCTGGAATTAAGAGTGTTGAAACGAAGTCTGCTCTGAAATCCACAATTTACGAAGTCCCGTTTGACACTTTCAGAGCTCTCTCACTCCTCTCTACTTGCCCTTTACTGTGTGGGAGTGTGGCCCAACTCAGAGCAAAGCTCACGCGCGGTCTAATCACCGTTCAGGAAAACCCCCTGCGGATTCTCCGGAACGGGAATTGTTGATGATTTAGCGGACTCTTGACTTCAAGTTCGGAATCAGGGATATGAGAAGGCCCAAACGACTAAAACATGGAAGTCGAGAATCTGGGTGAACGGTGCCTTCAACTATTGACGATTCTCTAAGTCAGGCTCATAAGCAAGTGAGTTGAATTATCGAATGTAGCACATTCTGTATCGCAAGAACCAGTGCGAGCTCTCCTATCCATACGCCAGTAGAGAACACGTTGACTTGAGCATATTCGTTAACACGTTTCGGACCGGTGCTGCACATGGTGAAGCACGCTGCTTTGAAGAATCTTTTTGAAGTTTACAAGAGGTTTTCTTTTAGTTCAAACTCATTACGTCAAAGGCCTAAGCTTCTACTTTTCAAATGGCTCTGTAGAGTTGTGCCGCCGATATTTGTTTAGGAGATTTGAGGTCAAACAGAACAACGGTTGCAACGAAGTGCGGCAACACGAACGACGCGTGCGAGTCGCAACTTATCCTTGCTTTGAAATCAAAGAGAAAAGCTATAGTTTCAATACTGATGTTACCGTGCACAACATAGGTACTTCTGGATACTGTTAGAAACTGAGTACTTGTTCCTATCTCTCACGAAAGCACAGAAGTCCTTCACAAGCGACAAAATTTAAACACTTTCAGTCCACTCAGAACTTTGGGTATGGAACTTATCTCAAAAGCTGATTATAGATGTAGCATACAATCTACAAAATAAGGTCCCTTTGTTGGCTAACGGCTGAAAGTGCACTCTTTTTCGCCGAGCGCGATTTCGCGGTCCGAAACGTGTTGATATCGATAGCTAGTTTTTCTTGTGCTTTTCGCGGATGTCCTCCTCCCTACCTTCATTCCACACCAAAAATTTAGAGGGTTCTTTGATAGCAAAGTATTGCAAAATGTTTATGTGAGTCAGTGGATAAATGCGCGAATATAAAAATTATGTAGCATCCAACTAATGGCAGTTTTGATGATTCCCTCAAGAAGTGCCAAATACAACACGATAAAGCTTACACAATACGTCATGCGTAAGAAAGAGTGATCACAACAGCCAAATAATAGGAATGCGAATACACTATGGACGCAACCGACATTTAAGACGAGCAATTCTATAACCGCAAAATGCAACTTTTTATCGCGAAGTCGTATCGTCAAATTTCATTCATTATAGCAGGGTTATGTACTCTATCAGATGAGGATGACATGTCTTCAACATAGTCAAAGCTTTAGAGAGTGATCAACAATAGTGTGTGAGTACGTGCCAGGTTGGAAAAGCATCTCCAGTTGGTCCGTCTCCACTTTATGCCCTCCATAGCGGTTTTTGAGAATCTGTAAACAAGTTTAGGCGTTGCACAGAAGGCTCCAGGAAATCTCGGCACTTACATATAGGAATTTTCTGAACTTGCTGCGGTCACGATCGTCGCGCCTTCTTTGTATTGCAAGAACATTATCTGCTTCTTGCGTGACACGCGCCGAACCACCGAAGTGTTGGATGTCAAGATCGGTGTCGGTCTAGATTCAGCTATATAAGAAGCGCCGTTTAGTGACACATGAATATCACCGGCAAGATCTCCAGGTTCGGCATTCCTGTCTTAAGTTTTTGGAATATCATGGTCTCAGCTTAATATAGTGTCAAGATCTTTAGGAAAGAATTTGCAAGGCGGCAGCCCATTTAAGAGTTCTGCGTTTGGATTAACCTAACGTCAATGTAAATATATGGAAAGAAACTTTGAAAATTATTCTAATTATTTAAAGGTGAAAACAAGTCGAATGCGTATTTTGTAACTCACAAAAGACCAAAAGAAAAAAACCAACACATTTTCGGGTTAGCCTCCTCCCCAGTTCACAATTAAGCTAACCCCTTCTTTGCTGAGATCTTAAAGGCAGTGTCCGGGCAAAAACTTTGAGATTTTCTGCTTACCCGGACCTATTCGCTGTGCTGAATCCGACAATTTACACTGGAGAGCGCGAAGACCGCGAATAAGGCTCTAACGCAGGACTGAAATCAGAGAGTGGGAGGGGGGAGGGGGGATCTCCCCACTGTGAATTTACGCTCCCTGCTTCCGGAGCAATCTTCTCGATTCCGCTAGCTGCCCTGGCATCGCCACCGGCTAGGTGCGAAAGATTGACTTGGAACGGAACCGGAAAGATCGCTCCGGAAGCTGGGAGCGTGACTTCACAGTGGAGGAGACCCCACCCACCTGCTTTTTTCCCTCCTGCATTGGAGTTCTTTTTTGCCATTTTCGCGCTCTCCAGTATGGAGTTTCGGATTCAGCATAGCGACTGGGCCCGGGTAAGCATAAAATCACAAAATCGAGTTTCTGCCCGGGCACTTCCTTTAAAGGCAGTGTCCAGGCAGAAGAATCTCGACTTCTATTTTTTGCCTTATTTCTCAAAACCCCATTTTTGAGACAATTTTGAAAGAACCGTGGACGAGCGCTCCTAAGCTATCCTTGTCAAAAAGCAAGCATTAACAAGCAGGCACTATCTGTTCAATTGTGTTTGCCACGTGACCCGTCAAGGGCTGGGGAGAGTTCGTTCAAGAGGGCGGGCGGTGCGAGGGAGTAGGCGTGGTCCTCGAGGCTCGGCCTTTTCTGAGCCGATTTCCTCCTCTTGCAGGGGGTGTTTGGAAGTTGCGCGATAGTTCTAGATCGACGACGTAGTACTCGTTTATGATAGTATCCGAAAATGTCCAAATCTGCCCGCACGCTGCCTTCAAGGAGGCAGACGAGAGTATTGCAGCATAGGTGTGATTCTGAGTTATTGCTCGGCAGCTTCTGACAGAGGAAAAATCACGTGCTATGCAAGAATGATTGCTCATTCTTCTTTATAAAGAAACTCGCCTGTGACTGCTCAAAACTGGAAGATCTTATGAAATAAGCAGGAAGATAAAGAAAACAGCACTTACGTCAGTTTTTCGGGGATGAACGACCATTGTGACATGAACTCCATACTGTGTGGCCAGCGCTCTCATATGTCCGACAAAACGATCCTGTAAGTGCGCAATGATGTTTTCGATCCATATGAAGGAAGAGATTGAAATTAAAAGAGATTAAAATTCGTATCTTGTCCGAAATAATGCTGCGAATCTTCAACGGTCATGCGCACTGTTTACACGAGACATTCTTCATACGTGAAGTAGCCGTATTCCCTTTTTTGATGACTAGGAATCAAGAAAAAAAATAGGCGGATATTACAAACTTCTTCTTTTTCGGTCATGCTAAAATTGACATAACTAACAGCTAACTAGAGCCTATCGAAGGCTGAAAATCTACTCAGGCAATCGCCAAAGACTTCCGCGGGACAGCGGCGATTTGTGGCATTTCCGGGGCACGCTCAAAATTAATGGAGCTGCCGCGTGGATCGGGGCGTGGGGCGGTCCGCTCGCGGTGACGTCACCAAAAGCCGAGACACGGACTTCCGGGACGTGCCCCGAAGGTGCCAAAAATTTGCGAATTCACCGGGGATTTCTAGGCATACAGCACCTCCGGGACAATTATAGTGCGCAGCCAATTCGTTACGCTGATACTCAGCTCATGCATTTTCGAGAATAGGCTGCGGCGGGGTCGCTCGGAGACGGTTTACCCCTGCCGTTGTTTTTGAGCGTCCTCGCCAAATCGAGGCTTGAGGCCGCCCCGAGGCTCGACAAAGGGCTTTCATGTCCGAAGAGGGATATCCGGACTTGTATGATCATTGATGTGTTCGCAGTCTCAAACATAAACTTGAAAAATGTATTTTATAATTGCGACATATCCACAAGTTCGAGGGCGGAAGGGAATTAAGGGGTTCCCATGTTAATGGTGTTTGTGTGTATACCTCAATTGTTAAGATTGTTTATAGTTTTGTGTTGTGTGAGTGTGCGTGGGCGCGTGAATGGGCGGAGTTTGCCACTTTTAATCATTTTAATTTTTTTCGCGTTTTTTGTATGGGAAGCTCCGCCCATATGTGTTCATGTGTTTGTGTGTGTCGTGTGTCTGGTCTTACGAAGATTTGTGTGGGGCAGGGTTGTCAGTGAAGGGGGTCTCAAGAAAGTGGGCGGAGTTGGCCACAACGGGGGATGGGGTTGACGTGACGGGGGTGCGAGTATCCAACTTATCGGCCAACTCCGTAGTCTTTTTCATGAACTTAGTGCATGAAGAAGGCATCTGGGAGGGACGGAGGGGCGGGGTTGTCAGGGGCGGCCATGAAAATTCCGACATCGACACTTCATCGGACTTCGTCGGGCATTTTTCGGGTCGATAAAGCGTGTCGGTGCGAAGTCTGTAGATGGTCTCTTTGACGGGGCCGTCAAGCGCTGCAAGGGCTCCCATAGTTCCCAGCTGTTTGAAAAAACAATTGAACATTACTTTCTGTATTCGTTGTTCTATACTATGAATGAATAGTATAATTTCGGTAGTGTTCTGTCTTTTCAAAAAAAAATGTTTGAGTGGCATTCAGTGTTTAGAGCTAATTTGGGAGGGATTTAGGGGCATAAATGGGATTTGCTCAATTAGGGCTAGCTACAGCATGCCAGGGTAGGCTTTCGGGGACTTCCGGTACACAAAGTTTGGTAGGATCCGGGGCAAGAGTTCCGTATCGTCGCTGATAGGGCCCGGACGGTACCGAATTGGCCCATCGGATAAATCCGGTCGTTGTCTGAGTATGGATGTATTTGCAAGTTTGCAGTATAGAATCACCTGTATAACAGCCCAGCAATGCTTTTTCAAGCGCATGCCAATTTCGCCCCCTCGATTTCTTGCCATGGATTAAGAAATTAAGCAGCAACTGTGCCAATGAATGTCTGGTGGGAAGAATGTACGCGTGGCAGTAGGAGATTCCTAGGATCCTTCTACACGAAATTCCGACTTCTGGAGATTGAAGTTTGTTAAGTTTTGCTTCCAAGCTTTACGTGGACCGGATTTTTCTCAAACATTTAAATGCCATTTTGTAAAGCTTGTTTTGCTTTATCGAATAATATGTTGTCTTCGATGGTATATCTTCACTCCTGTGGTAGCTTGAGGGAACCTGCATTATTTATAGGACAACTTGGTAGGTATACGATCCACTTGTAGATGTAAACAACGATTTGCAATAGATCAATGCGTTCAATGATACCTGCATATGAAAACGCTCTAGACTGCTAGATTGGTCGTCACTCATAGTAGACTGGTTCACCAAAAATTGTAAGTTATCTATAACAACGTGTTGGCAGCCGCTGTTGATGACCTGGTTACGAATGGCCTGGAATTCCTGGTAATGAGCGAAATTAGGTGCATGAAACATGTAGCTGACCGCCGCAATTTGATTGATGCTCCTCTCTCGGAACTCTGTCGTCTTCATAATGGTTAAAGGCCCCTTGGTCCGTTCAAACTTATCCAGCCACGTATCAATTGCACTGCTGTACTCTACACGATACAGGGGTACTCTATAATAGCCATGAGAACATTTCGACTAGTGTTTATACAAGAACCAATCTTTCAGCAGCTGCCACATCAAAGCAAACGAGTCAACTCGAAAGAAATCGCGGATGGCTTTTGCGCATAGGAACTGAATCGGCACAGTTCAAGCACTACGAATCGTACGAGACAAAATTGGTATCAGTGAAGTCCATCCGCAAAAGAAGTGGTACGATAACAGAACTATGCAGATTCATACTAGCATGCAAGACTGTAGATATGATCATAGACTACATAATCAGCTCACTTGATTCCGTTTTTATATGTGAGAGTACGCGCCAGACTTCGAAGGTGTGAGGGACTGCACAAATACTCGATTTTAGACACCACACTAATGAACGAAACTAGCACAGGAAATCATAGAGGTATACCGCACCCTGCATACTGTACAAGCATCCATTTTAGAATTTTCTCCTCTGGCATCTCAAAACTACAAAATAATGTTCGCACCTGAAAATGGTTCCATGAATGAAAGCGAAGCGGAGTGAAGGTAATCAAACGCACCCCTTGGGTGAAGAGGTCCAGAGCATATTCGCATAGGAATGTGGTTTTTCCAAAGCCTGTACCACCAGTGAGCACAGTTAGCTCCCCTGGACGAAGACCCAGCAAATATTTGTTGAGGGGAGCGAATCGTTTCCACTGAAAGCTACCGTTTACAACTTACTATCCATAACATGCTCGTCAAACGCAGCTTGAACGCTACATGAGCATATCACATTGAAAGGGAAGTTTGATAAATCATGAGCAGATGGTAAAATACCATGTTTACAGCACCCTTTTTTTGAAGCATTGTTTGCGTCTAGTTAGAATTTCAGGCAGAAAAATATGTTATATTCAACACTGGCTATCACAAGATAAAGAAAGGGATTCCTTTATCACGGCATCGATTCAGGACCATATCAGGGGATACACAAACGCTGCATTCATTGAATCCACTTCAAAAACTTTTGAACATAAAAAAATGATTCAAACACCGTCGCTTTTTCCACGTTTCTTCCAGAAGTTCGTAAAATTATGAAATGATTTATGAAAATTATGAAGCGCGCTTTGATAGTAGATCCTTGAAAGCACTGTCCACCCAGATTCTCAATTTCCATGCTGTCGTCCTCGGGACCTTCTCATGCCCCTGATTCGTTTGAAGCCGAATCCTCGAAAAACCCAGATTTCCGTTCCACAGGGCGGGTCTTCAGAGATTGGATGGGCGGGCATTACTGGAGGGGGTTGCCGTCTACGGGTTCTCCGCTCTGCTCGTTGTGTTGAAGCGATTTTCTCGCTTCCGAAGCGACATAGAGAGCGACACTGCGACTTGGACTTTGGCTTGATAGGGTGCACTCTATCGTATGCCATCAAAAGTTACCAAAAGTTCAAGACCCCTAACTGAGGATGGGCGGTGCCTTCAAGATTTGAGACGAAAGATCCGAGTTTCCACAGTAATGACAGCTTGTGAACATCCTCACCGGTCAGAGGAGTACAGCTTGAAAAAGCTTTGTGTTTGATAGCTGCAGGAATCTTGATTTCATGCTGTCTATTCATCTTAGAGTGCACTTATTTTATTGAAAATTAATCAAAAAAGCACAGTATTACTAGCCGCACCTTTCGTCTTCCCGCATGACCACCGGTGATGCAAGAAAATTAAAGGTCAGCCGGCTCGTCCTTCAAAATCGTTTTTCTTTCTACAAAGTGGAGAAAAATTTAGGAAGTGCTGATTACCCATTCAGTAGTACGTGTTTCCGATAACGGTAGTGTTGAGTTCTTCCAGAAACGTTGAGTTCCAACCCATCGTTTATCAAAAACATCATTAATCTGATATCTCATTTCATTTTTCAGAAACATGCTTAACATTGTCGGAACAGATACCAGCACAAGTTTATGATGATTTCGGTAACAGTAGAATGATAACTGATTTTGAAGAAAAGACGCTCAAGCGATGGAGATCTGGATCATACGAAAAATCAAACAAGCGCATTTATAACATTATGTTTCCGTTCAATATACAAAAAAGTAGTAGAAACACTTAAAGATAGGTAGACATCAGTGGCGTACCCAGGATTTCCGCTCGGGGGGGGGGGGGGCGCGACAAAAAATTTTTTCAAATGACGGTGCGTGGCGTTAGCCACGCACTTCGAAAAAATGTTAGGGGTGCTTTTCAAAATTTTTGCGGGTCCCCAACCCCCCCGAAAAAAATTTTTTTACAAAGCTAATTTGAATTTTTAAAAATTTTTAAAAAAAATTTTTATTATTTACAAGTATAAACAAGTCACTTGCACATTTTTGTAACCCATATAAGTAACTTTCAAAAATTTGGCGACCCATTCTCGGGGGGGGGGCGCGCCCCCCCCCCCCCCCGCCCCCCCCTCGGTACGCCACTGGTAGACATATTTAATTCCACATTTTAGATTTGCGCAGTCTGCCAAGTAAACTGCCACGATGTTTCAGTGATGTTCAATGTTAATGGGACCATTCAAAATTCTTAAATATGTATAAATAGTTGTCTGATGAAGTCAGCATATCAAAACACTGCTTCACTTCCTTCCAGATTTTCATAGAACTTTTTGTTCAAACGGCCTATTTCACAATGCTGTTGTATGCTAGAGGTTTCTACCGTAATCCTACAATAACGAAGGCGATGGGTGATTCGTTCGATACTGTAAATCCAAGTTGAAGCCTCCTCCACTGACTGGTACTCAAAACTGAGGAAAAGAGTTAGTGGAAAGAGAGTTATCAACAATCAAATGGTGTGTACTTACTTTTGGGACACCCTGTATATCTATAACCGCCACTTATTGTACTAATGTTTAATATTTATTGACCAGCGCTATGCTGCCGCTGCGTTGCAGTAACACCGACATAAGGTTGAAAAAACCAAAAATCGGCAGAAGCATTCAATAAGAGCATGCTCACCTACCCCTCTCTGTAAATTTTTAGCTTGCCATGGCATCAACTGCAACAAAGCAATTGATCGGAAAAGCCAAGTAATGTTATTTCGTTAATGTATAGCTTGTTAACATCCTCTTAGCCCTGAGGTTTATGTTTGCGAAGTTTGGTTTAGATCTCATGATTTTTTGTAACATCTTAGCCGGTCATAATAGGAAATGCTAAGCAAAAAACGCGAATTGATAGATCGATGGAGCCAATCATCAACCTTGAGCGGAAATAGCTCGCTAACGTACGTCCCGTTCTAGTTTATGCGTGCAAGGTTTGGTCCGAATATCTCAATTCTTTCTATCATTTTGAACCGGTTTTAAAAATTCTGATCTAAATATTATCTAGGGATTAATATCACCAATATCCAATGTTAGTGACAGTGAGTTGTCCGTGATTGTTCACTAACAATAGGTGCCCTGTCATACATACCCGCAAAGTTCCTGCAATACAAGGCTAAATCAAGACACACTAAGTCAATCAAAAATTAGTGCCAACATTGCCATTGCCACTGTAAGCACCATTTCTACTAAAGTCTTCCACGGATTCGCATATCTAAACTTTTCTGTTACAAAATGTGTTGACATGGGCGAGAAAATGACGACAAAAACTATCAAGCCGCGAGAATAACAATTGTGAGACATTAGGGCGCCATCTGAGCTGTTTATATACTATTCGTTCATTTCGCTTATTTTGCTCACTTTTACTGCGCAGGTTCCTTTGGAAAAAATGAAGCTTCATTTAGCTAAATTTGAGATTTCCCAACATTGAATAAATCGTGAATTGGCTTCGATGTTTGCGCGGTTTTAGTGTTTGTATCACATTATAAACTAGTGAACGTTAAGTGAAAGACAAAAGGTACAGAGGCACCCCGGTAGGCTTGTCCACTGTTTGCTTTCATTCGCTATAAAAAATTTCACACATTACCGCTTCTATGCTTCTTTTGAGCAGCATTTGGAATCTTCCTCTGAAATTTAAGCAAGGTTTTTGCAACTCCACCTCTTTCGTTCGGAAAAATGGCTAGGTCATTATCGCTAAATTCGGCAAAGTCTCGCTGACACATTGACAGTAATAGAAGTAGTACTATGAATACATGCAAAGTTCGACCAAAAACACGAACGCGAGTAACACTATCTTCACCTCTTCTGTTGGACTCAATGGGCGATACAGCTATGGTGAAGCAGAAAGCTCAAACGCAAGAATATAGAAAGAGCACATCGGGACCTGGTGAGATGCATTTATGCGCTGCAAGCGAAAGGTCACAGTGCGCATGATCAACTTGTGCTTCATGAGCAGCAGTGCTCCTAGTGAAGGGCACAACGCCAACTTAAAACGTAAATTATCCGGAAAATTGAGGATCCTACTCAGGCGCTTTGAAGAGGGGGGGGGGGGGTGGGAAGCAAGAAAACATACACTTAAACAGAACAACTGTTATCGGATCAATATGCTGTTTGCACGATTTTTACCATACAGTCTTCCACGGATTTTTATAATTAATTCTCATCAGTTACAGAATTCTGGCGCGACAAAACGACAACAGCTATAAAGCCGCGAGAAAACATCGAGCAATTTGATGCTGACTTTATCTTTGTTTCAATTCAGTTTACCCGCTCTTGATTCAAATAGTTCTGCTCGTTCCCATCATTTTGTGCAACTTCTCTTGAAAAAATGGGTTTGAATACCCAGGTCTGAGGTTTCTCAACATCGGAATAAATCGACATTGGCTATGGATCAGAAATAAAGTCATTGAAGCTCCACAATCGGATTTCGCATTTGCGCCAAGTTTGACCTAGCCTCTAAAGGCACCGTCCACACAGAGGTGATTGATGAGTTTTATATACTACAAAGAAATAGAGAACGCGATTGACGCAGATTATAATTAAGACATCATACTTAGCGCGATTTCAGGCGCAACGCGATTTGGCATTGCTTCAATGGCTCATAATTCTTCGCAAGCGCACTCTCGATAAGTAAGATTCGATCTGTAACTCACGAAAACTACGCATTCGAGATCTGCCCGAGATGATTAGTAACATTATCAAGTCGCCAACGGGTATAGGGCTCTGCAGGATCGCGAGAGTCGGTGAGTTTGCGGCCATTGCGCACGCAGGATGCCACAAGGCCTCAAACTACTCAAACGATCCTGTACTTTTCGGAATCGCCTCAAATAATTGGAAGCTTACATCTGATAGCGAAAAACTTCCAAAAGGAGAAGGAAAACCGAGAAAGCTCAATGCGCGAACAATGGCCGCAACCTCATCGACTCTCGCGATCCTGCAGGCCCCTATAGCGACTTTTGGTAGTCGCGCGAGGCGTGACCAAAACTTAAAGGCACCGTTCACCCTAGGTTGAGGGTGTTGAGCTTTTGGCAGCATATAATAGTAGGGCGCCCTACCAATCCAATGCCTAAGTCGAAAGGCAAAATGCCGCTTCGGATGCGAGAAAATCGCTTCGGAACAGCGAAGATGCACGAGGACCCCCAAGGAGACAGCCCTTCTGAACCGCTAACAGCCTAATTACCGCGCGCCTCTGACTGGTCGGTGCTGCCGCCGCTTGGGTGAGAAGAGTTTTGCTGCCGTTAGAGACGTCAAGAATCAAACAAGATTTCGATTCCCATGAAACTCGAAAGTGTTTTATTTGGGCGGCTTAGGTAAATTCTTCAGCTTACACGTGCAGGCTTCATAGTGTTTTGAAAACTGGGAAGGGCGAAGAAATCA